AAAGGAAGCCTATTATCCCACTTTTTTGGGACTTGTTGTTTTCCAACAAGGGGTCGACTAAGAGTGTTGATAATCCTCTCTATGCATCTTCTCCACTGAGTTGGAATTGAAAATAATGGAGGAAAGGAAAAGATCAACGTTCGCTTGTATCTGTGATGGTACATATAATTGCGGTGATGAACAAACATTTTAAGTGAGTATAAACACATAAGGTCCGTTGATAAATAAATTCTTGTGTAAGATTGTCTAACATTAGACGGGTCGACCTATCATATTATGTATACTAAAAAATGTTAGACTTTTGTGTTGTAATAAGAATTACATGTAAAAAGAGAAAATATATTTGTGGAAAAATCCTTAGATAAATGGTATGTTAATGTTACAAATGTAAATGTCCAAATTCATTTTGGCAAAACTTAACTGAACCATGTTATTCGGTTTGAGAAGTGAGAATGAAACTCAAAGTTTCATTACTTTTGTCTTAATGAAGACATTAAAGCTTCTCATCTTCATTGAATATGCAAGTTTGTCTTATGAGCACTATAAAAAGTGCGTGTAAGCTTACGAAAAGAACACACCAATAAAAGCAAAAAGAAACACTTGATATATACATATATTCTCTTCGTCCTCTACAAGACTAAGAAAATTAAGAGTTCTTGGCAACTGAGAATTTCCGATCGAGGTGATTGTGTTAGATAATGCAGTCTTCACACTTTGAGTCGTCTTATCCTGGGGGAATAGGCGTAATACTCGTTGTACAATATCGGGGCGTCTGTTTCTTCAATGCAAACATATTTTCCATGATTCAGCTCTACGTGTTCTATGGCATTATAAAACTGTCAGTAAAGTTTTTATTTTATAATAAATTTATTTATTTACTAATAGAAATCTGGTTTCATCTCATGTTCCTGTGCTTGATGTTGTGGTTTCTATTTACTGTTGGAATACCACTTGTGAGTTGTCCCACATTGATTTGATAGGTAAATGAGTCTAGTTTATAAGCCTAGTGGGCTACTCCTCTCATCACCAAATGGTTTTGGGATGGAACCTCATTAATGTGCAACTAGGCTCACCCTCTTATGGTGCGCTTCACTGTGTGAGACCGCACCACTGATTCCCCGATTATCAAAATTTGACATGCTATCAGAAGAGGCCTAATTTGGGAACAACGATGATTTGTTTTAGAATAAAAATCCACTCTTCTTCCAGTGTCCGTAGCCCGAGATCCCTAAGGCAGAGTGCCTGCTCCTATGCCTGCAAATAAAAAAAAATGGACCTGACCTGGTTGTTGGCTTTAGGCTTATGATGATTACCCGGCCTGGTTGTAGGTTTGGGCTGATGAAGGATCACAAGTGAGGAAGCGTGTTGGAATACCACTTGTGAGTTGTCCCACATTGATTTGATAGGATAAATGAGCCTAGTGGGGTACTCTTCCCATCACCAATTGGTTTTGGGATGGAACCTCATTAATGTACACTTAGGCTCACCCTCTTACGGTGCGCTTCACTGTGTGGGACCGCACCACTGATTCCCCGATTATCAAAATTTGACAAAACTCTTAATGCGTATATGTGCTAAAACTCGTTCTGAATTTGTCATTTTATCGTTAATTTCTACAACAATCTTGAAGAAGCAAATTTTGTGATTAAAAAGTTTTTTTTTTAAGTGTTATACATATTTGTTTTATCATTTTTCTTATCAATTTATCATTATATATAGCAAGTGGTTCTAGCACCGAATCAATTAATGTTATGTTGAATTCAAAAGTTGATTTATCCAGCTTACCGAAAAAAAATTTTGGGGTAATTTTTCCAACCTTGTCAACAACGAATGAAAATTTGGCTTACAATCAAATGACTTTTGACGATATTCAGATGGCTAGGCCCGAACCAATTAATAAGGATCCCAATATAACTAAAATTGCTCAGTGGAACGAAAGAGATCAAATAGGTCGAGAAGCTATTTTGTCAGCTTTTTCAAATAAGATCGTTGATGTTTATTGTTCAGATTTGTACATTGCAAAGTTGTTGTGGGATGAGTTTGACAACAAATATAATAATGAAGAGCAATGTTTTGAAAAGTATTATGTTTCTAAGTTCCTAAAGTATCATATGGCTAAAGGAAAGTCTGTATCTAAGCAAACACTTGAATTGATCAACTTGAAATATTCTGTCGTTGATGCTGATATGAAATTTCCTGAAAAGTTTTTAGTTGTGTCAACTATTGATAAATTTCTAAATTATTGGGAAAGTTTTGGAATGTCGTTGAAGCATAAAAAAGGNACCTTGGATGATTTAATGATATCAATCACCATAGAAGAAGAACTTTGAAAAGAAGTTCATAATATGTCATTTGAACCTAAGGCTAATATGATAAATTGATAATGGGAAAGAGAAAAATGAACCATGCAAATACAATCAGAATGGCCAATAAAGACAAGGCTAAGGCTATAAATAAAAAATCCAAAGCAAACAAACCATGTTGGAATTTTGGACATGTTAGATATTGGATTAAAGATTGTCCCGACAAAGAAAGCTAAGGTTAAACCTAGACCCGCTGAACAACCTGCGGCAAATATGATTGTTGGGGAACCTAACAATGCTAGCGCTCTAGCTAGAAATAACTATTGACGTAAAAAGACTGAAGAAATGAAAGAACTTAGTGGAACCGTAGTAGAAGGAAGAGTAAGCACGGGTAGGCTATCTTCTGACAATGTATGCACGGAAAAAACAGTCAATTAAATATTTAAACAAACTTCAGTTCCACCAAAATACAATCTTTAAAGAAAACACAATGAAAGTTGAATGAAGTTTTATGGTTGCAACTTTGCAGATTCTGATCTTATCAAACGTCATTTGCTCATCTCCTGAATGTCTAAATAATTAACATAAAAGGCAAACCAATAATAACCTTGTTGAGTAAATCATTAGAACCATAAGTAAACATTTAACCGCCTGCATGCATAAAAGATACAATGACAGAATTTATTGGGATAGTTCAACTTCTTCAAAAGTAATATCCTTCCACAATCCTAAGATACATTTAAAAATACAAACTATGTGTAAATATTTATATGGTAAATATTTTTTTTTATAAGAAACAATGTTATTAACACTTAGATATACAAAATATTTATTTCTATTACTTTTATACTAGTACGTAACCCGTGCGATGCACGGGATATAAAATCTAGAAGAATAATATAACCTCACGTGCATTAGGATCGAAATTGAAATCATTAAAATACATAGGAACATTGTTGAATCATAAAAAAGTTCGGTAACAATCATATATTATTAAAAACCTCCTTGTACACAACATTATGAGTTTGATTATTTGGTAACTCCTCATTATCACAAACTAATATTTTCAAAAGAGACAAATCCTAAAAATCAAACTAATATTTTTGGTGAACAAACTAATATTTTAGGATTGGTGAACAAACTAATATTTTAGGATTTCTAGGATTTGTCTCTTTTTGGTGAACAAACTAATATTTTAGGATTGATTATATTAATAAGGCTACCTGTTTTTTGTGTTCTTTTCATTCAGTTTCATTCAAACAATCCGATGACTTGTATAATGAAATCTGAATCTTAAGCCAAAATATTTAAAAAAAAGAGTTTTTAAAAATTGAAAAGTCAAGGCAATCAGTTCAGATTAATTAAAGGTCAAAGAATATCCGCTCCTTGAAATAAAGACGTGTGCTATCATTAACCAAATCTCCGGTTATTGATATAGAGTGGTTACCAAAAAATAGAATGCGATAAGGACGCTTCATAGAAATATCAATGGGATAAGGTCATAACAGATTGCTATACATTTTAACGATAAAAGGTCAGATGGAATGATTTATGATAATTATGTTGTAATTAATGAATTAATTAGATGTGTGAAAATGACATAATTAATGAGAAGTGTGAAAAGGACATAATTAATGAGAAGTGTGAAAAGAACATAATTAATGAGAAGTGTGAAAAAGACATAATTAATGAGAGAAGTGTGAAAAAGACAAAAACTTACCAGTTTTGGAAAATACTTAATGCAAATCCGACATTGACCATAATTTGACCTACTATTTTGGATAAATGTTAATTCTTATTATATAAGTATAGATATGTTTTATATGATAAAAATACTATGTATACAATTTTAAAATTTAAAACTAATTATCCGGTTCAACAATTGACCCGGTGACCTAGAGGCCTACCCGGGTCGAGTCTCGGGCATGATTTACAAACTATGGTTTCATTTTTTTGTTTTGAATATATAAATGAGTAATAATATTTTGCAACATGTACTATTTGCGCATAATTTACAAACTATGGTTTCATTTTTCTTTTTTGAATATATAAATGAGTAATAATATTTTGCAACATGTACTATTTGCGCATATGAGATTTGTAACCTAAACAATTTTTTGTAGTAAATTGCAACATTGAATATACAAAATGTCTATACCGCAACCTTCGGCCATTGGCGATCCAATTTCCACCGGAAAAGTGAGCGTGTGAGACACACATACCAATTTTGAGGACGAAAATATTTGCCGGCCCGTCATAGTGCCGCAAACGGCGCGGTAGTTTTCGACCACCTGGAGGACCTCAAAGACCTCGCAGGACGCTGGAACAAATCCCGACCAGTTGTTCCAAAAAGCCGCGACTACATCGTCCGTTTGAAAACTCAAGTTTTTTCTTAGCAGAAGTTGGTCAGATTTTACGGTTCACAATACAGGAAAATTGAAATTTTGCGTAGAAGTTGAAAAATGAAGAATAAATATTGTTGTATTTTTTTTTACTATTTTTGAATTTTGGACCGTCGCTCCAAATTAATTTGTCGAATAATTATTATTTGAAATGATATTTTTGTCCTTAAATTTAGTATGTGTCTCGCACGCTTGTTTTTTCGGTGAAAATTGGACGGTCGATGGCTAGAGGTTGCAATATAGATATTTTGTGTATCAAAGGTTTCAACCTACTAAAAAAAAAAAACACGTGGACAAGCATTTTGCTTGGTTGCCATTCGAACTTGAAAACAGAAAAACTCTGTTGCCGATCGCATCATATTGAACACTATCGCCACCAAAAAGCAAATCCATCACAATGGCGAAGAGACCTTCCTCCTCTCTCCTCACCTCTCCTTACTCTCTCATCATCCCCCGCGGCGACGCTTTCCTCTTCCTTTTCGCCCTACTCTCTATCTTCTCTCTCCTCCTCCACCACGTCTCCGCCGCCTCTCGCCCCGACTTCGAGGGCTTCGACGCCGAGGAAGATGACGATTTCGCCCTCGGGGGCGGCTACCTCAGGGACGAAGACACCCCTCCTGTTCGCTCTGCGCCGCCCCCAATATCTCTCTCCACTTCTACCCCCGAGTCGCACCACGGGCCCCCCGATTCGGATCAGGCTTCGATCCAATCCACGCCGTCCGATCATAACCCTAAGCCGGCTTCCACAGCAGCGTTTGATTACTGGGATGAGGATGAGTTTGAAGGCATCCCTCAGGATTTGATTTCGCATCCCGAGAGTCAAGCGACTCCGGAATCCGATCCAGCTGGTTTCGAACCCGATTCAGCCTCCCGTGATTCAGCAGGAGACCCTAAATCCGATGTGAAAGCTCCGAAGAAGTTCAGCTCTTACTGGGTCGAAATCGTGTGCGTTTCCTTCTTGATTATGTTTGCAATCAACTACTTCACGGGGAAAAGGGAGAACGAGAATCTGGCCTTGGCGTGGGCCAGCAAATTCGCGACCAAGGACTCGATTTTCGACAAGAACTTCAGCTTGTTGGGGGTGGGGGAGACCGATGACTCTCCATTGCTGTTGCAGGAAGGAAAGAATGTGTTCAAGTTCTACGCTAGCGGTCGGAGGTTCTGCTCAGGGTTGCTGGCGACGATGGAATTGAAGAGCAGGCACGATTTGATCTCGAAATTGTACAATATGGTGGTGCCTTGCAAGGACGAGATCACGTTCGAGGTCTACATGAATGATGATGCAATGGATCATGTGGTGTTTGCAGTAGCAAGAAAGAAGCTGGCAAAGACTATGCAGAAGGAGATGAGGGACCTGCAGAGGTTTGCAGGGTTGGTGAATCCTCCAAACGGTAAGAAATGGGTGACGGATGAGCTGCAGGTAGTATCGGAGTCTAAGGAGGTTGCTGGGGATTTGATCACTGATGTTGTTCTTGATCAGGTGTGGTTTTATGATTTTTGTTTTTTCTCTTGTTGATTGTAGTTTAGGCATGTTGCCTTTTATGTTTTCTCCGTTTTCAGGTTTTCTTATGGATTAAGTATGTTACTCTTTTATTTTTTATTTTTTATTTTTTTTTTTTNAATGTAAGGGAAAAATTTCGTAGTTATTTAATGTTTTTTTAAAACAATATTTTGTAATCATTTCAACTTTCTAAGGGTTTGCAATTGAGTATTAATTTGTGAGGAGGTGTGTGCCTGGTCCTTTCATATCGTAGGATATTACTTGTGATGTATGATAGTGTCTTGTCCTCACAATTCTTCTACGCAAGATATCACTTTGAGAACGAAATAAACTCAATTATTAATTTTTGGGAAAGGATGTACTTATTTCTAAATGGGAGAGTTAGATTGGTGAGATACTGAGATAGATAAACCTATTGAAGTCCACTAGCAAAGCAAGTGGCTTTTTTTAGCTTCATACTAACCAAAGGGGCTTGGGAGCATTCCTCAAATTTCCTTATCTTAATATTTTTGCCCCTGTTGTTCATTCTTATCAAGTGTTTTGTTACTGGGGACTGCCATGTTACTTTTTGTTTGGTGTGGTGGTGGTTATTGGCTGAAATAGCTGCTGATACTTTCCTGTAGATTTGCCTTTTCTGCAAAGGGGCATTGTGATTTGTGAATTGATATCAAGGCGACAGAAAGTGTCTGAACTTTAAGATTACAACGGGTAGTGGAAACATACAACAGACTAGAATACTAAGATTGTTTTGTTGTGCGTGCAGCACAATCAAGAGTGATCTTGTTCTCTTTCTCAGTTTAAAGGAAGAATAGTTTAGCTTGCTGAGTTGTTGATCACATGCAATATGCAGGAAATATCATGTGTTTGTTTCCCCTATTTATCTCTAGTTTGATCATATATTTGCATCACATTCTTTCCATAATGATGTTCTTACGTGGCACTTGATTTGTCATATACACTGCTGTCTCCCGCAGTCTTTGCTCTGTCATTTTTCTTACTGTTTGTTTTAATTTGGAATGCGTCATCATATATTCTATCATCACTTGGAAAATGTGATCTTCGTTTGATTCCTCCATCTCTTGTCGAGCATTAATATAATAACATCTCCGAAATCATGAAGGTTCTTGGTGAAAAAGCTTTTGACAAATTCGGAAAGGGCTTCATCTCAATGCACTTTTCTGATCAACATGTTGGCTCAGCCAAAAAGGTGCTCGTGTTCAGGTTTGCTCTTCCTGATGCTAATAACATGGCAGACATGACTCGTTTGGTTGCTCTTGTGCCTTATTACATTGACCTGATTGGACGATACAAGCTCAGCTCACATGTAAGCAACATATTTATTTGAATGGTCACAAAGTGCCTTGAGGTTTCAGCTAATCGTACAAAATCAGATAATACTCCTGCATCTGAAGTCACTAAAATTAAGAAAATAGAAACTATTGTGAGGGATATTGTACTTATGCAAAATAGTGAGTGACTTGTATAATATAGTAGTTGCACTGAACCTCAAGGTATTGTAATATTCAAGCATTTTTGGTTCTATAAATCGCACGCACTGAACTTCGAGTGGATCCACAGGCTCGAGCTAAAACAGAAGCATCCAGAACAAAGGTAGCCCAAGAGATCTACAGAGAACTTCAGAATGCCAGGCAGGAAGCACTGCAGAAAAAGAAAGCTGAGCAGAGAAAGAAATTGGAAGAGGCTGAAACGAAGCTCAGTGCAGAGGCTCTTCGCAAGAAAGAAGCTAAAGAGCGTGCTCGTCAAATGAAGAAGGCAATGCCAAAAATGAAGATGACTAAGGCTCATTAGATACTGCCAAGTCTACAGCATAGGCACCTTTGTTCTCGTATCGATTGTCGTTCTCACATTCGCTTCTCTTTCCAAGTTAATGGAGATCCTTATTTGTATTGTCTGCAGTTACGTACGCTAAGACGGTGACACTATTGGTCTTCGTCCGAATTTAGTAGCACTTTTGCTGTTTCTGAAGCATTATAAAATGGGCCGCATTCTCGTATGGGGATTGGCGTTTGGCCCATGTTTGCTTGTCTGTAGTGAAATAGAACAGATTGAACTTGTCAATTTTACTACTTAGATAGTCTAGGAACTAGAATAAATCTCGTATCAAATTTTCCTGTTTTTATTTTTATTTTTTCCTTATATTTCTTGTATGGTATTGTGTTGGTCATTCCACTTGAAGTTAAACTAGTTGATCAGTAACTTGGTTCTACGAGACTGTTACTTCACTTTCTGCGTTTGAGATGTCGAAGTTTTAATTTTGTGCTTCATGGCTTTGATAAGAAAATGGAATCTTAACTTGTATTACTGCCATAATAATGAATAAAAGTTGTTCTCGAGAGTTTTTATCTAGTGATTTGTGAAACTAGTCCATGAAGGTGTTTTTGGCTGTGAGCTTGTGAATGTGAGTTCATTGAACGTTATCATCAATTGGGCAGTTATTCCCTACTCTTTTGTCGATGGTATCAGAATCTCGTTGAAGTCCCGAAGTCAGAAAATTAGAATTATACTTGTTCATAAGAGTATTCATTATGTGAATCTTTTTAAGTCTTAAATTTATACTTTTAGGTTTGTAATCTCAAATGATAAACTTTATAAGCTGATTGCGAATTGAAGGTCTGTTAATGAAAGCAAACACATTTGATTATTAGGGTGGAATTATTAGATATTAACGAAATGAATTATTAGGGAGGAATGATTAGATATTAACGAAATGAATTATCATCATCTGAAAAATAATGTATTATTCACTTCTCATAACTTATATCTTCTCAATTTTAACGAATCATTTAATATAACTTACCCAATTTTCTTGTAAATTTTTTACTATTTATTTATTCATAAATTTTAAATTATTTATTATTATTTTATTTTATTTTATTTTTTTTATATATTGCATCACCTTTAATCATAGTTTTTTGACCCCGACTGGCCCAGCGGGTCGACCTGGAGCCGGAACCTGTCCGGGTGGGCTATTTGGACCGGGCAACAAAGGACCCGGTCAAACTCGGTCAAAACCATGCCAACCCGGCCTTGACCCGGCCGACTCGGTAAAAATAAAAACTATGTATATATGTTTATATGATAAATATTTATCATGAGATACATATTATTAACACTTTAATGTACAAATTTTATGTACAAAACATTATTTTTGTTACTTTTATGTATATTTATATGACAAAAATACTCTATATATAATTTTAAAAATTTTAAAATTAATTATCCAGTTCGACAATTGACCCGAAGACCCGACGGTTGAACCGGTGATCCGAGGACCTGCCTGGGTCGATTACCGGGCCGAGTTTAAAAATTATGCCTTTAATTGATAATTTTACACTTATATTAATTTAAACTAGTATTCAACTTTGTGCATTTGCACAGTGTAATATAATATTATAAGTTACATTTATGCATATAGTATTAAATTATAAGTTATACAATGATATTATATTTTAAAAATAGAGTATTATAAGTTATATTTATGCATATAATAATAAAAATATAAATTAGACAATGATATTATGTTTTAAAATTTGATCATTGGTTAAAATAAATAGTACATAACTATTTGATTGCATATGAACCATTATATTAATTACATAAAATATAATAAATAATGTAATTTTGAGAGATCGCTAATTTATTAGCTTAAAAATATTAAATTTATTATACCATTTGATTATGCAATTTTAAGGAATTTTACCTTAACATTAAAATAAATTAAGTTATTTAAAAATACAATCGCTAAATAAGATAAAAAAATATAACATTAATTTTAGAATAAATAAATTTAGCAAAAAGTTTACAATAATTTTTTATGTTTATGTAACTTTATATATCATTTAGTGTAAACTATAGTTATTAGTTTTAATAATAACTATTATATGATATAATAAAATAGTATAATTATTACTCCGTTAATATAAAATGTAACGGTTTTTGTCTTCATTAACCCTAAGAAAAGTGCAATGAAATATTTTAGCATTAAATAGATGTGGTGGATTAATAATAATAAAAATAATAATAATAATAATAATAATATTAATAATAATAATAATAATAATGATATGGGATATTATATGACTAAAGAACAGACCGGCTCATCACGTCGGTCAAACCGGCATAAGTAGGGAGAAAACCGCGTGGGCTAAAGGATGATCGACCAAAGCAGAAGAGATCGAGCAGAATGGCAGGGTTGGTCGAGGATCGACCTAGCGAGGGGGAGCTCGATCATATCGAGCGCGTAGCGGGAAGAAGACAGTCGAGAGCGTGACCTGAACGTGAGTAGGCGCGTGGGTGATATCAAGGGATCCCAACGGCCTACGCAAAGGAATATTTCCCCTCAGCGTAAAAGGGGACACGTGGCGAGAACCCAGTGGTGCGAAGTAAAAGTGGCAGTAACCACCTCTGACGTCCCTGACTTTTCTGACAATACACGTACTGTGTATGTACGGACGGGCAGCGCGGGCAGGACAGCTCATCAAATAGCCGGGCAGCTCTTAGGGCAGGTATCTCACTCCTATATATAGAGGAGTAGGTCTTTTTTAGGGTTTACGATTTATCCATTCTTTACTTTGGAAAATTGAACAAACATATACTGACTTAAGCATCGGAGGCTCTTCACCGGAAAATCCCTCCGGTGTGAGAGTTTTTGTGCAGGAGCGCGGCGTTCTATCGGCGAGGAAGAAGGAGGCAAACCGATTCCGAGCCGGTTGGAGTGTTTTGCGTTACCAAATAATAATAATAATAATAATAATAATAATAATAATAATAATAATAATAATAATAATAATAATAATAATAATAGAAGACTGTAACATAAAAAGATGGTAAACAATAATTAATATTATTAAATTTATTGTTAGTAATTAAATATAGAGAGAGATATAAATGATAAGTTTGTAACGGTCTTTTGAGGGAAATCGAAATGAGGTTTTATTAAATGTTATTAGCCAGCAATTATATATATATAGATTATAAAATAAATAAGCCTTTCATAAATCATAAATTATTAATTTTTCCACCTACATGAATTTATATCATAAAAGTAATTATTTCTGTTCCCACATTTTTTTAATTAAATGAAAAATATATATAAGTGTATCCAAATTCCAATAGTAATTATCTCTGAGAAATGCTATGGAGCCAGCTACCAATGTTATGGTGCCACGTAGGCTATAAAGGAGCCATGAAGGAGCCAACCATTGTTATGGTGCCACATTGGTGGTTGGCTCCTTCATGGAGCCAACCATTAGCTTTATAGCATTTTTCATATCTGATATCCTTCTTTTCTCACACACATACACACACAAAACAAAAGAAAAAAAAAAACAAAAAAACAAAAAACAAAAAACAAAACGCCCTATTGGAAACAAATCTTTTAACAAACATGGCCGGACTTTAAGATCCCTTCAACAAGTTAAATTCTACAACACTATAGGATTCCCATATCTTCTGAAACAGAGCTACTAATAAGGTAGACGAAAATCGGAACCCTAAACATGGGCTCCGAAGAAGACGATCTCTACTCCAGCGACGGTGAAGAAACAATACTCGAACACGACGACCCACACCAACTCCAAAACTACGCCTCCCCCGATCGCCACAATCAGCGCTGCAAAATCCTCTCCGAACATCAGATTCGTGAAATCCAAGACGCGAACATCTCCGACGTCTGCACTGTCCTCTCCGTCTCCCGTAGCGTCGCCTGCACTCTCCTCTACCAGAGCAACTGGACGCCCAGCTCCCTCTACGACAAATGGTTCAGCGACGACCACCCCGGGCCCTCCCCAAAACCGGCCCGGCCCGAACAATCCGGGTTGTGTAAGATCTGCTTCGAAACCAGCGACGCGCCGTCGATGATGTCGGCCGGGGACTGCAACCACCGCTTCTGCACCGAGTGCTGGAGGGGCTACGTCAGCACATCGATCGAGACCGGGTCGGGCTGCCTGACCCTGCCCTGCCCCGAGCCCGGATGCGAAACCAAGGTAGGCCCTGACCTTGTTGACGCCCTGGCCAGCCCGGACGAGAGGGCCAAGTACTACCGGTACCTAGCCCGGTCGTACGTGGAGTGCAGCCCGAGGAAGAGGAGGTGGTGCTCTGCCCCCGGGTGCGAGCTGGCGATCGAGGTTGAGGGAGGCGGGGGTGCGTGCGAGGTGGGGTGTGGGTGCGGCCACAGGATGTGCTTCGGGTGCGGGGATGAGATCCACAGCCCGGTGGACTGCCGGACGGTGGGGAAGTGGGCTGAGAAAAACGGATCTGAGGCAGAGAACGTAAAGTGGATACAGGCGTACACGAAGCCTTGCCCAAAGTGCGGGCGGCCCATAGAGAAGAACCAGGGCTGCAACGTGATGACTTGCAGGCCGCCTTGCCATTTCCAGTTCTGTTGGCTTTGCCTCCAGCCGCTTGCTAACCATCAAGGATGCAACAGTTACCACAACAGCACGGCGGTGAAGGACACTAGCCTCGCCCAAACCAGGTATTTTGCTGCATTATTTATTTATTTATTTTTGGTTTTTGGTATTATTATATATAGCTAGAAATTATAGTGTGAAAAGTGATACTTGTTCGTTTCCAAACAGAACAATAACATATATTCTTAAGCTATTTTAGAGATCCAAATCAAATACATAGAAGAAAAATCTTAGAGCATCTCCAATGGTGAAAAATAGTTGTAATAAATTACTTTTTATATTAACAAATTTAGTAATGTCTCTACTTTTAATCATATTCCAATGCACAATATAATCACAAATGGGTGGACATAATTAATGTATACAATGTAGAAAGGAATGTGGTTCATCCACATTCTTTCACATCCTAGCCAACCAACTAGCGAGAGATGAGATAGAAATATTATTACCATTTTCAAAATATCTAATTATTTAATATATTTTCTTTCTTATTTATATTTTTTTTTATGTTTGCTAAGTGGACAATATTATGTTTGATCACATTGTGCATTGGAGATAATTTTTTAGATTTAAAGTTGTGAACTTGCTAATTATCTTATGTGGTTCACAATCCATTGACATTTGTCAAAATTTATGTGATAACAACATTTATGCATTGGAGATGCTCCTACATATACTCTTTCTTGAAATTAATTATCAATGAATTTCCGATCAAGGTCTTCAAGATACAAGACATTTTACTTTTGTACAACGATTGCTACTCTT